GCTGCTGGGTTTAAATGTACATGAAAGCAAAATGGTTCATTTTGAAATTGCTGCAAGAGACTGAAGGTTGGGGGAAAAAACCCTCTAAGGGCTAATTTTTCCCAAAGATTGTGCATAATCGCATATATGAAAGACAGAATTTGAGCACTTCGTCAACTTAATCACATACAGATTCAGGAGACTTAAAGAGTATACCCATTGTTTCACCAAGTTGGAGGACGGGTGGGGCAAAAGATCATACACTTATATTCCAAATGGCCTAATTATTAAAATTAGAATAACAACTATCTTCCTTTACCAAATAATTGTACATTATATTTGGCCAGGTTTCTATAACTGTTGAGAAGCTCTCATAGTTTTGGGGGTGTACAGCCTCCCCTGCAGTTAGGCTCTTTATTTTGGATTTTTTTCACTTAGACTTCTTCCACCCATGTGCATGCATGCACACCACCCCCCGTCCTCACCGAGATCTCTGGAATGAAGGCCATTTGCACTGCTGCATTCACTTACTCTTTGGCCAAAACAAGTTGCCTGCATATTTGTAGGAAAATCTAGTCCAAGGAGTCTATGACAGAGAGAAAATGCCCCCCACTGCATCATTTATCCTGAGGGACAGAAAAAGAATGGACGCAAAGAATGCTGGACTTTAAATAAGCAATAAACGAAAACAAAATCCATCAGCTGAAAATATTATTCATGGGGCAAGGGAAAAGCAACACAATTATTATGTTTTTCATTTAGGATTAAAATGCACAGTGAGTACATAAGAGTCCTGTCTAACAAGCTTTCCATTAATTCTCTGCTTTAATATTGGTGAGCACTGAGGTTTAGCCAATGTAACTTGCAGAGAGAGCAAACTCTCCCCCCGCCAGGTAGAGCTTCAGCCATTTATTAATTTGTAATCTCTGCTAACCATGCTGAGCACTGGAGTTGGCAGAAAACAATGTATTTATAACTCATTATTTTAGAAGCTGTGCAATGCTAGAGGAAGAGGACATTTCCTATGATTAATTAAGATAATATCCAGTTTATCACAAGGTAAGTCGCTCGATTTATCTTCCACGATAGCATTCCATTTTGGTGGAGGTAACACATTTCATATCATACTCCATTCTTCTTCTTCACCTGCAATAAACCTTTCACAAGATTAATGTCCTGAACAAACACAGCGTTTCAGCATAGACGACAATGAGGCAGGGAGTCAGCTCAAAAACTTCACAAGGGTTTAACTGCTTTGGTAGCTCAGGGTCTGATTCGTTCTCCAAATACGCTGCCAGTGTGCAGACCGTCATCCTGCATAGATGGGGTATAAAGTGCTGGTTCAGGAAAGCGGGGTTCATTACCGAGCCCTCCTCTCTCCGTAACTACCATAAACCCAGCTCCAAAATGTGGAGAGTCTGCCTTTCGGCATATAAACTTAATCCAGTTCAACTGGGATTAAACTCTGTGGATTTGTTACCTGCCTAGTTCAGGCAAGTGGATGAACATATGCCATGCTTTCCAACCAAACCACCTCCCTCACCATAAGGATGGTCACATCTTTCTACGTTATTCTGCAAGTAAGACAGTGTTGCAAAAATGGTAATCCTTGTCCAGGATCTGGGAGGGGGGCACCCAAAGCTGTATTATACTTTTATATGTGCACTGGTTTTAGGAGGTCAAGATGGCTTTGATCAGGTTCTAGGACAAGAATAAGACAATCATTTCTACCAGGTCTCTCAGGAAAGACAAACTAAGATTTAAGCTGAAGTTGAAAACACAAAACCAAATCTTTCCCCTCACAAAGCATTGCTATAAAAAATAATACTTCTTCTATACTTGAAAAAATATGTTTCATTGGCCACAATTTAAAGCCACACTGCTGTGGGTCTTGTAGAATATATAGTATTTATTTAATATATCTTTATGAGGCAAAGTTTATAGCTGATATACGTTTTTAAATGAGACGTATCTCCGCACACCCCTAGACCCCAGGCTTCAGCTAGCTGTCGGAGCACTCTGCAGATATCTCCTCCGTGGGGGGCTTTGCATGGCACCCGTGTCAGGGGCTGCACCAAACTCTACCAGCCCCCAAACTTGCCGTCATGCAGCGGTACCGCAGGCAGTCAGCCAGCCTGGGCACACAGGGCTCTGGTGAAGCTGCCCCGAAGGCAGGCTCACCCTGGGGACAGCTTTATGTTGCAAGTACCTCTGAATACCCCAGTAAGGAACCATCTATAAGTTTGTAATGCACAGTGGGGAACCGACTGCTCTCAGCGGCCATTTAAGCTTTGGTTTCCCCATCCCATGGGGACTCTGCTGGCATGATCCCATCTCCTCCTGGCCATCCTGGCAGCACCAAGGCTGTGCAAAGCTACTCCATACATGGCATCCAGAGGACCGCCTGCACTGGGGACCTGCAGAAATGTCAGATCAGCGAGTCCATGGCCATAAAAGTCATGTGAAAAGACAAGGGTTGCTGAGACAGCCTTAGAACTTCAAACCTGCCCTTGGCCCCAAAAAGCAAAGTAGGCTGCTTGGGCTGGGGGCAGAAGGGAAGATTCACCAGAAAAAGACTTGCTTATTTTGGTCCCAGCTGCTCCCTTGGGAAGCTGGTTCAAAGAGAGAGAGCCCAGAAACGTGTGTCACCACCTTCTCCCCTTGATAGTCTCTCCTTCCCACCTCTAGAGCCCAGCTATAGGCACTGGCTGGTCTCTTTGGCCAGTGGGGACCAGTACCTCCTAAGTCCAGCCTCGTCTCAGTGGGCACACGGCCATGAGTCTAGCAGGTCCACAAGCCCTGGCAGAGTAGATATGTGCACCAGTCTGGACTCCCTCTGAGCTCCAAATATAGTTGGAGTCATGTTAACAATTTTTCAGTAATTTGACCAGCAGTAGTGGCTAGACACTGAGCTTTCTAAATGAAGCCAGCAGAGCCACCAGTGCACGGCTGTCCCATCACACTGAGCAAATTAGGAGCTTGCTGAGGTGCCATGGCCAGCACCAGCTAAACCTGAGCGCCACATGGCTCACTGCCACACAGGTTTTTCCTGAGAGATGTGTATCAAGGCATTGCATAACTAATCTGAACTGTCCTTTACTAATAATGCCAAACCCTGGGCTGCTCTTCTGCAAGGACCAGCCACAATCAGCCTCGAATATAACAACTTCTATGGCACTTTCCTGCTGCAAGAGGAACAAACTGATGACCTACCCTGATGTCCAAACCCAAAGGTAGTGGCACCAAGCACAATCTCACTAATGTTCTCTGTCAACTGGTACAAACCCTAATGGAAGCAGCCGAAGTGCTGTTACTGAGTGACAGTATGGTCCAATGTGCTCTGCAGCCATTCGCTTCAGAAACATCATTAGGGGGAGTTATTCAAGCACGCCTTGGTGGTACTGCATTTTTCTCACTTCAGACAATACAAGTCACAGTGCCCAGCCACGTGGTCAGCTGTGAAGGATACTGCCCAATTCGTATAAAACAGAGAAAATATATTAATTATTTGATTATTATAAGTTAAATAAATAAAGCTCAAAAATAAAAGTCCCAGTTCTGAAGAGAATTTGTTTCCCCACTTCAGTATTTAAAAATATAGATTTATGACTGATCAGCTATAGGTCATTTTCTTTATCTTTTGGGGGAGGGAGTAAGAACACTTTGACAAAGTAGTGTCAGTATGATCACCATGATAAATGGGCTTTGTCCCTACATACCCATGAAAAAGCCTCCTTAGTACCTTTCCAGGCTAGGAAATCTTCCCTAATCTCTCTGTGGCTTTACTTTACCTCCTATATTGATCAAATTGGTTGTTTGGTTTTTCTACTGAGGACTGGACAGGAGGACAAGTAATCCTAGAGCTTCCCATCGCCTTTGGATGCTTCGATTTTTTTCAGAGTAATAACTATTTGGCCTGGAGAGAGACGGCAAAGGCTAAAGCCATATGATATTTGACAATACTGACATCATGAACCCGAATCGCTATAAAATTACTATCTTATGAGTAAAACATTCAGGTGAGGTTTTCCCTCAAGGGATTATTTGCCCTACTTGTAGAACCATCCTTCTAGGGTGATATTCAGATACTGTTTTCCCCTTCTTTAGAATAATTTTCAAGTCACATTTAGAGCTTTAAAGTGTCCACCACTTCCTCAGCATTAACATCTTGAAACCTTTTTATGTGACCATTATGTCCATCTTTCCCGGATCAGAAGGACCTGGCAGCACTTGCAATGAAGCCCATCAGTGGTACTTTATGTGGATGAGGTGAGCCTGTGCTGAGTAACAGGAGGTGCTACTTCACCCCTGCTGCAATGGATGAGTGCTTTGTCTCCATGGTTTCCCCAGTGATAACCAAGATATTGAAGGTACATGTCCCACCCACACTCCTGGTGTGATTAAAATGGGTTCAGCCTAAACATAAATCTTGATTAAAGGAAGGTTTTCATTCATTCTCCAGCATGTCCCACAGGAACCAAGTGTCTCCTGTAACTTTGGTCAAACATAAGCATGCATTCAAAATTTGCCTTCCGTAATTCTGAGTCCTATCAAAGTTCCTTCAGCATCATTTCGAGCAGTAGGCTTCCACTATACTCGTCTCCAAGGGGCATGGGTTTCTTTCCACTGGTGCCTGAATGCTATGTTTGGTCTTTCTCCGGGACTTCCTGAAATCGTTTCTCCAAGCGATCCAGTTTTGCCAGATTCTCCTTCAGCAACTTGCTGTTTGGAACCAGCTGTAAGGCTTTTTCATAGTAACCACGAGCAGTGACGTAGCTCCCCTACAAAGAAAATGAGTGATAGATCTCATTGCATTCCCTGACATAAAAAGTCCATTCCTTGGGAATGGTGAAGACTGTAATACAAAGGACAAAGAGTTTATAAAACTTGATATTGTCAGGTAACGGGAATACTTCATTATGAAATGGAGCACTGAGTGCCATTAGTCTAAATTTGATCAAACGCACATGGCAAGAAGCAGATTCACATTTTTCCGTTATGTTGTACCAGAAGAGTTAATTTTACTCAGCGATAGGATAGCTTGAGGATATGACACAATGTGACTCCTTAAGAGCCAAATCATAATGATATGCTAAAGTATTCAAAAAGATAAGCAACCACAGGGAGGGCCGACTATTTCCATAATTTCATGCCAGTATTCTACGTTAGACATCTTTATTAAATTAATTAGGTAGAGAGGAATCCTAAAAGTTGAGTCACGGTGACATTTTTCTAAGGTAGGTCAACAATTGAAGCAGGCAAACTTTAGAGATGGGCAGGTTGTTCCTTGCAGCCTGCCCTCTTAAAATACAAGATTTACATCACAGGATATATATTACCAAGCAACCCAGTTGGTAAATTCTAGTTCGGGTGGACAGACTTCCCTCCTTTTTGGATAAAATGTCAAGGACACTCACTGTTCACAAACATGCAGCTCTTGGCAGTCTGAAACAAATTTAGCTTTCTGTCCTGAGTAGTAGTCTCTGCACTTAACAGCTTAAGAAAAAGCAAAATTGTCATACCTTGATGTGCTCAATGCCTCCCATATTCATCCAGGCCTGAGCTTGGTCTGGGTTGAGTTCCACAGCCCGTTTATAGCTCTACATAAATATGAAACATTTTTATGTTAAGAGTCTGACTCTTCAAACAAAACCAGTGCTGGAGGGGAAAGAGAAATGAAGTTTCCTTTCCTTCTGAATCCATTTAAAATATAATTTCAAATTCTTCTCATATACAACACACAAGCTGAATTTCAGTTTCTTTACAGCAGAGGCAACATAACATACTGCTTCACCGCTGAGCTCATCTCGCAGGTTTTCCCTGCCCACAGCACCCTATGAGGAGCCACAGCAAGCCCTGTGATCTTCTCCCTGCCGCCTTCACCACCCGGGTCTCCTGCACATCAGGGTCATTTTCTTGGGCAGGTGCCCGCCAACCACGAGCCATGTACGGGCTGCGATGCTCCTTATCTGCAAGGCTTTAATTTGGAGCTGGCAGCAGATTACGATACAGACACTTGTGTGGAGGTTTCACAAGGACCTGAGGGCAGTGCTGTCCCTCCCCACTGCTTCTGGCACTGTACACGGGAGAAGACGCAACAAGGACCTTCTGGACTCTGTCAAACAGCACCGTTCTCACAGTGTTGCAACAGGAAAGGATTCAAATCAGGGTTAGACAACCCTAGGGATATTAACAATATTCTGAACTGTCCCAGTAATTTTCTGGGTTATTACTTAACGCTAACATAATCTCTGAGCTATCAAGCCTCCTGCCAATCTCTCAGCTATTAGGTAATGAAGTTAGATGTAACAACATGGTGGGCTCTCACAGGTCCCCAAGCTTCCAGCTGAGCCACCTAGAGCTGGCCATCACCAGCGAGAGGGGCTGGGGCTGGATGGACAAAGGGCCTGGTCAATGAGAAAAGGCCTAGGCTCCTCCATCATCCCACCATGACTTTGTACTTAACCTTTCAGAGCAGAGTGCTGTATTTCCACACAGGAATGAGGAAGAAAGTGGCAACTAAGTCTGGCAAAGTTAGCTGCCCCATAGCTTTAGCTGTACCACTGGTGAACTGCTGAGCTCCCAAGGCCAACAGCCAGGGTGCATGCACCAGCGAGTATTAGATGCAATGGGCTAACTCTATCTTTTAACCAATAAAACTATCCGTAGGGCTTAAAGCAGTCATACCTCAAAAGCCTTGTCAAGGAGATTCTGCTCTCTTAGCTGGTTTCCTTTAGTGAAAAAGAGCTCTGATATGACTTTTGGATCCTTTGGTTTTAGCTGGAGAGCTTTTTCTATAGCTTCAAGTGCCTGTGAAAAAGCAAGAGGACATTGTGTTACTGTATTCTGCGCCTTTCTACTTCTCATGCTCTCTTCACCACTAGGGCCTCTCAGCATAAGAGTCATCTTCCTCCTTCCCTTGTTTGCCCCACACTGTTAACACGTGTGGAAAGGAGCTTTTTAGATGCCTGTGGCTGATGGGCAGCGGGGCTGACAGCAGCAGGAGTGGTAAGTGGTAAGAAAACCACATTGCTCAGCTTCAGTCCCAGTTCCTAGCTAAACAGAAGGTTTTAGTGAAAAAAAAAAATCTAAAATCTACTGGATGTGCACGAAGGCATGCGACATGTCTCTGGAGAGACGGAGTGTAAAATTCAACCTGAGCTCTACGTGTGAGCCCTCGGGATAAGGGTAGCCCGTGACCATGGTACCTTGGCATAGTGCTCCTGCTTGCTGTAGATGGCTGACAGAAGGCGGTAGCACTCCAGACACTCCACATCCTCACTGAGTATATGGTTCGTCATCTTTTCGGCCTCCATCGTCCGCCCCATCATTGCTAAAACCTGAGCCTACGGAGCCACATTATAAAGGGTTATGTACTTAAAAAGCTCAACCCTCCTTAATGCACCCAGCAGCTGGTGCTCCACTTTTGTGGCCCTGCCCTGGCCACGCTCACCCCACGCTCACCAGTGCCAGTCGGATCTCTTTGTTCGAAGGCTGCAGTGATGCCGCTTCTCTGTAAACCTGCAACGCTTCTTCATACCGCCCCGTGTTGTAATACAGAGCCCCCAGCGGGGACAGGATTTCAGCCTTCCGGGATACCTTCAGTGCCCTGGAATTTGGGAAAAAGAGGTGTTTCCAGGTGGTGCAGGGATCAAAGCAGAAAAAGCAAGGTGTGTCTTGCGCTGGGATGGAGCAGCGAAGCTCTCCACCCTGCTCATGCCACCCTGGGGAGTACAAATTTAAGGTCTTAGGGAGGGATGAGCATGCCCACAGCAGCAATCCCTCTAGCCACCTAAGAAGGGGAAAGGTCCACCTCTGAAGTGCATGTGAGCAGGCAGCAGGGGTGGGGATGGCTGATGGCAGAACCTGGGGAGTGTGAGCACAAATCTGGATGCCAAAAGGGAGGCAAACCCCACCCCAGACCACCCCACTGCATACTGGGAGTCAGACTCTGCCTACTAGCGCATTGCTGGGAAGGGCCGGAGTTCCTGATGGTACTAAGGTTTTGGTGCTGGGCTGTGCAGCAGTTATGGCTGTTACTGGTGCGGCACCCACAGACCAGCTTCGAACAGGGCAGGAGTCATGCTAATAACCTGCTCATGCCACCAAGAAACCTTTGAATTTATCGTTAGAGGATCCCCCAGCCAAAAGCATCAGTGTGCCCATCCTGGGGGCTTGGGAACATTCCAGGAAGTCAATGCTGCCTGAGTCTGTGCTGCCTCTCCAAGCATTCTCCAAAACCAGCCAAATAAGCAAAGGTAAATCTGATTTCAAACGGATGGAGAAGGAAAGGAAGAAATCCCAAACACGCAGTGACAGATTCATGTATCAGAAGCTCTTTAGCAGAGACATGCCATACAGTGGGAGGAGGGAAACCTCTGTCTCCCATCCCAAATTCTTACCGCTTGTACCATGCTTCAGCCTCTTTGTTCTGCCCCAGGGAGCGGTGAAGCCTGCCCAGGTTCACCATGGCCACATGGTGAGTGGGGCTCAGGTGGATGGCCTGCCTGTAGTGGGACACGGCTCGCTCGGGAGCCCCTGGAGAGGAGAACAACTGTTAAACTGGTGCATCAGAAAAATCCTGTCATGAATTCAGCACACAGTAATGCTCTGGGCTTTCTTTCAGCTATTGCTCTGTGCGTGGGAACCATTTTGAGAAAGAAACCCTGCCTCAGCCTTTCTAGAGATTAAAAAATTGCCGTCCAAATTAAGATTTAAGATCCAATATCCAGAGACAATCCTGAGAAACAGATTTTTTTTAGGGGTGGGTTTTTGCAAGTCAAGGGTACAGGGGAAGACTGCTGACTGAAAACACTCTCCTATCATGCTGTGGGGGGATGCACCCTCTGTGCTAATGAAAGAGCAGAAAGGGGGCTAGGGCATGACTCCCACCTCCTGGGACAGCATCCTTCCACCCTGGCCCAGTGGAGAGACAGGCAACAGAGACACGGAGAACAAGCTGTGCAGTATTCCCCAGAACCCCACCAGATCTCAAATAGTTCCAGCTCTTTCCAAACAGAGACTATTCCCTCCACTTCTGTTGCGTTGGCCCTGCTCAGTCTCTCTGCATTGCTCAACAGGACTGGGAGCAGCTGCCAGTGACCAGCTAATTCCCATGTCAGGGCAATAAATCCCAGGCCAGAAGTGCCCAGGTGCCTATTTTGGAGCATGTAGGCACCATCTCTGTGTTGCTGAGGAGCCATTGGGTGGCACTGCTTCGCTGCATGAAAACGTCTACCAGCGCAAGGTCCCGCAGTCCATGACATGACCAAGCACCACAACAAAATACAACACCATGCAACAAGAAAGGTGCCAGACCACTAGCCCAAATACTATAATTTTCTTTGCCTAAATAATGGCTTTCCTCAAGAAGGATCTTGCAGTGCTTTCCTCAGGCAGGGCCTGCTGACTACCTACTAAATAAATTAACAGGGCACAGTATAAAGTTCCAGCATTTCAGTGTTAGTATCGTATTTTTAACTCCAGTGCTTGTTTAATTGGTTTGCACACTCTAGACCAGATAATCTCCTGATGAAAACCGATACTCACGGAGCTTTGTCCACCAACAAAGCTTTTGAGTATTGGCGGTTTTTAAGCCAAATCACGTCACAATGTATTTAATCCCATTTCTAGCTGGAAAGCAGAACTTGAAAACAGCTTGCACGTGTTGAGGCACTGAACATATGCTGCCACAGGAACTTTATCTTCATAGCTTTTCAGATCTAGTTTGGTTTTCCTGAGATTGTCTATGCAATATAAAAGTAACACTGAGACTTCTCGGCATATCCTTTACATGAGAGAGAAGGGATGTCTGTAGGGAGATTTAGAAGCACTTAGCATTCATCTAAGGCCAATGACATATCTTTCAGGGTAGGACTTTTTCAAAACACCCAGCGGCAGCCTCGATCTTCTCCCACCACTGAGCGGGCAGACGTTTTTGAAAATCATATCTACAAAACATCCTGGGAAGCAGCTGGGCATGCCCCTCAGTCTGTACGTCAGCCAGTGCCTCCCCTGCTCAGCACCCAGAGGTAACACGCATCGTTAAGGGAGACACATTGTCTATGACCATTGCAGAGCTGTCTAGAGTTACGGCTCCCCAGAGCTGACATTTGCTGGAGGCTTGTTGCACAAAATCCTGCAAGTTAATTGGCGTGGTGCTTCACAGCATCTCTCTGTGCCCGCCAGGGAAGAGCGCAGCCTCTGATGGGCTCACTACCAGCCACTTCCTTCACACCTTGTCATGTTTCCAGGAGGGTTATTTACACATCGTGCCTGCAGTATCAAAAGTCAGTGGGGTTTTTTTCCTGTTGTTTATGTGTAGGGAAGTGTAGGAGTAAATGAGGAAAAGTTAGTTTTGACTTTGGCAGAATATACAAGTGCAAAAAATAGAAAGTAACTGCACTGTGTTTGAACCACAGTTTTTGGCAGGAGTATAGCAGTTTATCTGGGTTGGGGAGCAAAGATGAGTACAACATCAGAGTGAAATTACTGAGGAACTTTTATTATATGCAAGCCTGAATTTTGCCAGGGCACAAATTCAGAACCTGAACCTCTGCTGCTAATGACACAATGCCTTTTTTTGATTATGAATACTCTTTTTGGCTTCGTATTTATTTCACATTGGTACTACAGAAGAGTGAGGGCTCAGCATCAGCTCAAAGGCAGGACAGTGAGCTGCAGACTGATGGACACCATTGTCCTTTCCTCCCAAGCATCACTGGAGCCAGGCACAGTGTGAAAGGGGCCGAATGGGTAGCAACCACACACTTTTAAGCCTACAGTATTTCATCACTGGGTCTCAGCTCTGTTCTGGAGGGACCAGAATGAGACAGTAGTTTGGTTTCCACTAGTCGTTTGTCAAACTTGGCCTTGCTTGTAAAGCTGTCAATAAAAGGCTGCAATTACAGCAGCATTTTTTTTTGTTGTTATGTGGATGCCAGAAGAGCCCGAGTCCAGGGAAGTTGGATGGGAACCAGAAGCCCAGAAAAGAAAGGCTTTGGATGTCATTATGGAACTCCTGAGAAAGCAATTCACCCCACAGTATCTTAGGTTTTGTTTTCTCAGATGACTGTGGTTTAAAAGCCATTTTTGTTTTTATAGCGGTGGCACTCAACCTTTACAGTCAGAGCTGCTTTGCCACCAAGTAGAGCTGCAAGGGCTCCAAAGACTGTAACAATCCTCTTATGTGCCTGGGATGTGGCCATGCTTTCCTGGAGAAACAGCAGTATTGTCAGGGTGCTGCCCAGCTCAAATTGAAGAGGACAACCGCCTCTGCGAAGATGGTGAGAAATACTGAAGGAAACAGCTGGGCTGAATGCCACTGCCGCACAGTGCCTGCATTGATTACAAATTTCAGTATGCTCTGCCATCTCAGCAGCACGGTGATGTTTATTTCCAAGCTACAGTGGAGGCACATGTATTGCTTTGGAAGCTTTTGACACCCTTTTAGATGTGTACTGCGGAATAAAACAAATCAAAGCAAATAAGGCAGAGAGGGAGAATCACTTGCTCCTCACTTACCAGTATCAACCAAGAAAACACCGTAGTTGTTATGCAGATCAGAGCTCTCTGGACAATTCTCTATGCCAGCCTTATAGACCTCTTCTGCTTCCTTAAGCCGTTCCTTAAAAAAAGAAAGAGATTTCTTAGCTGTGGCACAAATGCTGTCAGCACCGTTTGCCGCATACCTGCATTTTGTGACAACTCCCTTGCTGCACTAGGAGCTTGGGGCACCAGCCCACCCTGCCATCCAGGAGGCCAAAACTCTACCCCACAGCATGGATGAGATACAGCTGCTGTCTGGTACCCCAGAGCAATTCAGATAGCTTTCCCCCATGTATTTGCAATTGGAGCTACCTGTGAAACAGAAGTAACAGCTGTAAAAGGTGGCTCCTGTGCAATGTCAGCGAGCCCCAGCTGGGCACGCACCCAGCCAGGAAACACAGTGACAGGGTTTGTGTTGGTTCTGTTGAGAAATATCTGTCATCTGGGAGATGATACACTTTAATTTATTTGTTTAATGAGCATCTCGCTGGCTAACTTTTCCCCTCTGGAGCTCTGCTGTTTGTTCCCTAAGCAGTGGAGAAAATACAAGAAATGAAAGCTGGGCGGCGTGTGTGATGGCTGGGGGATGGGGAGCTCATGCAGGGGGGTGAGGGAAGCTGGAGGGCAATGAAAGAGTGGGGAAACCTGACAGATTCAGATTAAAACCAGGTGTTGTCAGTATGTGAGATGTAGCTCACTGGGATTGATGGGATGTGCCACCACACTGATTTCCAGGTGCACTGAGCCCTTACATTTTGCATAGATTTCAAGGTTTGTTGGTGCTCAGTATTTCTGGAAAATACAGATCTTTTCTGTGGGAACACCCTGCCTATGGAAAGTGTCCCACTGGCTGGGCACTGTCTAGCCTGAGCTGTGGGCAGCCTGGTGCTGAAATGAAAATAAGGTGTCTCATTTGGTTCAAACAGCAATTTAATAAGGTTTCAATTTCCCTCCAACCAGCATGTGCTCACTGCCTGCATACTCGCTTGCATGGGTTATCACGGTCTTCCTACCCCGCTAACCTCAGAGCTTTGCTGTTGGGTGTATCTACAGAAGCATGCCATGAATAGCAGAGACAAGCATGGTGCAGAGGGGTGTCAGGCAAGCCTCCAGCACCAGACACATTTTTCAATTCTTCCCCTTCCATGGAGCACCACAGCCCTACAGCAACAAACTCCACAGCTTCCTGATGATGCTCCCAAGTGAAATCAGCCATCCAGGTATCTGCTGAGGAAGGCCTGGAGCCACCAAGGCAGTCCTCCTGCTCGGGAGCTGAATCCACACTGAAATACAAGGTCAATCCATTCCCAGCTATGGATGCTCCTCAAGTCCTGCAAATCCCAGAACCTCCAGGGTTTTCTCTGGATTTAATGGGTGTTACCCAACAGCAGCTGTTGCTCTGTAGCTGCTTAAATGTGTGGACTCCTTTCTCATCTCCTGTTTCAGAGCTGGAGAGCTGGAATTAATTGCATGGGAAGAGTATGATTTGATGAAAGCACACAGTTTGCCATAGTTAAGTGCTTTCACATTTACATGATAAAGGTCAGCCAGCAGAAAAGATAGTGTGTGATAAAACACAGAAACACGTTTTTTAAAAGTGTTTGGACATTTTGGATATATTTATGTCAATTTGACATCATTATCCTGTGGGGTCAGGAAAAGTGTAGCCATTGCCAGAATTGACTAAAATGAAGAGTGATTTCTTGAGAAAGCATCTCTGTCACCAAGACCTAAACAAGCATATTTTCAAAGCTTTCTGTATTCATTTCTTTTCCTCTGATTTTAATTTGCAGCCAAGGAATACGGCTTTGTGTGCACGTATGTCAGTTTTCTTCTTTTTATTTACTGATCATAAACCTGATCTTTAAAGCATGGAAGGGCTGTGTTACACTGGATTAGCAGTGTCCAATGTCAAAACATTCACACTCACTAATATTGAGTACTTTTCACATTTTTATCATGGCTGCATTGCTTTTTTGGCACCTAACATCCTGACCCTGCATGCCTGAGGTTCAGCGTAGAATCTGGGATGATTTCTGTTAGAAATTGGGAAGGGTGAGGCCAGCTTTTTGTGCCAGAGCTTTCTCCCTCACAGCCTCTCCTCTTCTTGGGAGAAATGCTGTAAGTTCATCAAGGCTTGATTCTCATTAACACTTAATAATGCCACTCCCAGACCTTCATGGAACATTCATCAACCTCACAAAATTCAGAAGATTGGCTTAAAAAATGTATGAGATTTTTATGATATTAAAAAAAACTATGCATGTGAGGATGTCTTAGTTGAACTCCAGGGTTTTTAAATCTGTGGGGTTTTGTGGCTCAATTTTTCAGTCTTGTTATGCCTGAATAGGCTCTCCTCAGCAGCTAAGTGTGTTAAAAAGTTTATTTTCCTTAGTGTAGGCTGGTATTATTACACACACACACACACAAAGTCACTTGAATCCACAAACTAGGGCCTGAAAAGAGCCATCAAGTAGCACGAGATTGCTGATGAAGCTGCAAGAGCTGGGAAGAAAGTGCTGTTCAAGTGCATCAGAGTAGAACCTAAGGAACCAGTGTTACAGGAGTTTTGTGAAAATGGCGAACAAAAATGTTTGATTTCTGATATTGGCACCACTGCAGTGATCACGGAAAACAAGGAAACCAACATATTGTGACTAAGTTACGATACCAAGCAGAAAGAGCAGTAAGAAAGGCAAGCATTTATAAAAGGCACAAACAAGCCAAACTGTTCCATACAATGTGGCGGTGGTTTTTTCCACATCAGCTCTGGCTTCAGAATCAACTGTCAAGGAGAGAAAAGGGCAATTACATCAAGTTACAGATTAATTCCCTGGCACGTGAGACATTCCTCTTAGGAGCATTTTTTACAGCTGTAGGAGGAAAGGACTGATAAGCCCTATTTCAGATTCATTGCCTTTAAGACAGAGGAACACGCTGTGTGGGACAACCAAGGCAAGGCACTATTTCACTGAGCCACATCCACCCATTTCCCCTCTTCTTAGCCTTCGTGCAAAGCTGGAGAAGCAGCAGCTTGTCACGGGCATGGTCACCTTGTGTGAGTTATTTCAACATGCCACTTACGGCACTTCAGTCCCTTTCTATCACATCCCAACAAGAGGCAACCAGTTTGTGCTCCCTTCCCCAAAGCTCCACAGTGATGCTGTCCACGCAGCCTACTGCATACTGCCTGGCGTCACAGAAACCCCTATAGCTATGAAACAGATTCTGGGCCACAAGAAGACGGGAAAACAGGTTTGTAATGTTCAGCCATTTTGGACAAAACCAAAAAATGGGGTCCTGTCTTCATCTTTTAGGCTGAAGATGCCAATACTTCTGCCCATACCCCTCCAGGAAGCACACAGTGTTAGGGGGTGATTCTGCAGAGCACATCCACGGGCAGCAGCATGTATCTGTAGGACAGCCCCTACTGCAGTCACTAGGAGGGTGTGCGAGGCAGGAGCTGCACAATCAGGTAGTCATCTGCTGTGGCTGAACATGAGAAAGTGTTAAAAGCCTGCAGGAAATCCCTATTTTCTGAGGAAATTGTGCTATCTTTTTTCCTTCTCACTTACTCAAGTCACAAGAGAACAAACAATCTATATGTAAAAGTAGATGAATTATTGCTGGACTTACTAATGGCATTTGCATTGGGCAGAAGGCCTCAGGACTCTATAATGGTTTTATTGCTCTGTTGACCTTACAATCAATGGTTCTGATTAATAATTTCAATTAATATTAAAACCAGGTATTACTGCAGAGAACTCATTTCTTATACTCGCAGGAGACTCTTCATTGATGGGCTTATTCAAAACATAGTTCCCATTCAACAAGGCTCTTCTTTCAATTCATACACTATATTTCTAGGTCCCCACAGCTGATATCGATAATATTCAAATATTTGAAAGTCACTTAAAATAGCACATCTTTCAGCAACCCACATATATCATAGGTGAGTTTTGCACACTACATCATTAAAGAAGCCTAAACCAGAACAAGACCTCTGCTTATAGTTTTGCTGGAATTTATCCACTTCCCTTACAGAGAGAAGATTTCACTAACCAGATTAATGGAAAACAGTGAAAGATGATACTCTTTATTCGACTGTATTTGCATTTGGCAACCTTTTAAGAAAGCTTTAGCACCCTGTGCTATGGAATAGTTAGATCTGAAGCTTGGGGGAGAAAAACAATCAGTTTTCAAAAGGTTTGCAGAGGTGTGCTGGAGCGGTGCAGTTTATGAGGACCTCATCACCCACCCCCATAGCCCCAGACTGGGGCCACTGGTTGTGGTCACAGTCCATGGGACCAATGCCCAAAGCGCAAGATCCCTCATCTGCTGCTGAAAGCATGGAGAAAAGCAGGTGGTCCCGATGTGAACACCCATGCTTCATGGCTTTTTCTGCCTTCAAGCATTTTGTGCCTCAATTTCCCTCTTCCTCTGTGGCGACAATATTTCACCTCACACAGACCTTGTAGAAATAAATTACCTAACTACAGAGAGTAGGGAGAGCCTCGGGTAATGAGCATGGGGAACAGCCTGAGAGGAAATGAGTAATCCTGACTCCAGAGTGCAGCCTGGGCCATGCACAGTAAATAAAGGCCTGGGGGCACATATTGAACAATGAGGTTAAATAAAATATCGAACAGCTGCTCATTAAGAGCAACACAAAGCTAGCAAGCCTTCCCACCCCCTGTATGTGATCATCTATCGTGGTAATTAAGGGCTGTATTCCGACGCATGCATGCAAGGGGCAGAATTCTGGCTGCAGAGGCCACCTGGTTTCTGACATTTCCTAGCTTTGGAGTGATTTATTATGAAATCTCAAGGTTATCTACGTAGGCACATGTGCCTTAGGGGGAAGTGGTCACCTATTCTGCTGTCACAACATTCAAGGTGCGATGGATTAAGACTTCGCCATAGATGCAGGGAGCTGCAGAGAAGGTATTCACTCACAACTTCAACAGTGATTTACTTCAAAGCCACATCATGTGGGTGTAATTACTCACTGCAAAAGAGTTGCCTCCCATCCTGAAAAAGTCATCTCTAAAGCAGCCCGAGAGCTCTCTGCAGACAGCCACAGAGCCACACCTGCCACCACACGTGTGCAAGGCGAGGGTGCTCCACTGGGACGTGCAGGAGGTGTTGCGGCTGCGGCAGCACTGCATGCACACATGCAGAAGGCACGAGAGCTTCAGTGATGCCCGTTACCTGTTCAGCTAGCAGCGAGGCCAGGCTTGAGTAAGCATCTGCGAACTCTGGGCCATACTTAATGGAGTCCCGCAGTAAGATTACAGCTTCCTCCTTCTTCCCTTGGGACCTGCAGCACAGGGAAGGAGGGAAAAATAAGAAACAAACATTCCTGTAAGCACATGTTTAGGTCAACCTACTGATTAACTGCTTTAAAGAGATGTGAAAGTCCCTGGCTTGACCTTTTCAACAGAGACTAAATGATTCACTCGCACCTCCTCTCCACAGTGTGTGTACCCAGCATCTCCTCAGCCCATTGCTGTTTCCATGTGTTATTCTCAGGAGCTGGGAGGCCATAGGCTTTAATGAATCTGCCATTTGGTCTGCTATTCTGGGGACTGTCATACTGTGCACTACACAGTGATCCCAGTGAAGACAAAACACCCCCAAGATGGTGCATTCCTCAACCTCACACACTGAAAAGCAAAAAGTATTTTATTTTGGCTATCAGGCAAGCAGTACAGGCCACATGCTCTGCCTGTTGAGTCATAACCACTAGATTTTGTAAACTTCTCCACTCCTACGTACATCTCTCAATATTTGTCTTCATGGTAAATATATCAAATTCTGCCCCATTCATCCCATCAGGAGTTAAAGATACACGAAGGACAAGATAGCAAAAGTGTTCCCAGGCATGAAATACTGCACAGCGACGTCCCTGGGAAGTCACATGCCATCTACGGGAAGGGATGCTGTTGGGGTAACACCGGGTTTGCAGTCAGCTTCTGGAGGTCTGGCCCCAGCCATGGCTATCTGGGAACAGGACATTTGCTCTCACCAACCCTGTTCTCAATTCAGCTGGTTGGAGACACCAAAACATTTGCATTTCCTTAAAAAAACCCTGCAGAGTCTTTGCATGCTCCTAGACGATGAGTGCCGTTACAGACTCACTTACACCTTAGTTAAATTAATACTTTGAAATTAAAATATTGCTAAGTTAAATCTGCCTGGGCTTTCTAAGTCAATCATTAGGCTAGAGGAGTCTGTTCTTCAGATCCTAAGGATAATGAACAGAGACAGTTGAGCGATGGCTACGCTGAAGAGTTAGGGTTTTTTTCCAGCATTGCTCTGCATTTATTGCCATGGAAAATAGAAAAGGTTTGCTTAACAAAAATCGAAGGATGTTTATTTATTTGAGCTACAACTCCTCCAGTATCGCTCTGTACTTCTTTCCTTGGAAAAATGAGAAGGTTTCCTGAACAAACATCTAAGGTTGTTTAGCTGGACTGGAAAAACATTTTCCTTGTGTTGGCTGTACAAAGAATATGAATAACAGGGCTTACAAAAAGAAACAAAGGACTCTGGGACACAGAAATATGTGAACACCTTGCCACTTTGGCCTTAGATTTCATCTGAGTGACATGGTCAAGTAACCAGATCTTGTTTATAAGGTGCAAATTTCAACTGATAATATATGTGGCTTTGCAGATTTTTTCCCTTTCTAGTTGTGTAACTGGAAGAATATTTTGCCTGTGCATTAAGCTAAGTAAAACCAGTTGTGCTAGTCTTTTTCTTCTTCCAGTGCTGTTCCATATAAATTACATGAATGAAGCAAAAACAAATAAAGAACCACTTTTCTCCTACACTAATTAAAGACTAGCTAGCTTGTCAATTTATAAAACTTTTGGATCCCTTGGCTGGGGTTTCATGACACATTTTTATAAATCAAAACCAGATGACTGCTTTATAAAGGTATTGATGTTTGGCAAAAAAATGTAGGAAATGCCAGCTACAGAAATAAAAGGATTAAGTGATCCACTCAGCAGCAGTAAAAGTCCCCATTAACCACAAGCATGCACTCCGAACACGGGGCAGCCCTCTTAATTACTCTTTTTTCAAAATGGCCTTTTTATTTTCCGTTTGATCCAAGAACAATGTTTGTCTCCTGAAAGTGGGGGTAGAGAGGGAAAGATTATGGCATCTTTTTATGTGACAAACTGAATTATACTAAAAAAAGCAGATCCAGTAGTTTCTCAGAGGGCTCAGGCCTGCAAGATACCAAATGCTCTGGCCAAGCACTTAAACGCATACTTAACTTTTATGTATGCAAGTTGAAAATTAATTACTGGTTGAAGTGCTTTCCTGGATCAAGGCCAAAGCTTTGCAGGATCGAGGCCATTACTTATATAAATCTCGTGCAATTTGGGACAGCACAGAGCATTTGAAGAACAGTCTGATACACTAATTTACTGTAAACTGGGGATCTGGAGCAGGAAAAGCTAGGTAATGTATACCTTTGCTATGACAGAGAGAGGAACAAATTCAACTAACATGAGGAGTCTATGATCACTTAATCCAATTTTTCCCCAAATTACCTTGCCTTACAATGCCTTCTCCTACTCCCTCTTCCACTCGAGCTCCCAGCATCCCCTCTACAATCAGCATGTCCGAGCTGAGAGCAAGGAACAGCTCTTTCCACCAGGAGCATCTCTTCCATATTTTTGCAAGTGCCCCACAGTTGGAGAAGCATCAGCTTAAACCACTCCACAGGAGTCTGGTGACGCACAGGGCTGCGTGCGGGCTGTTAGCATTGGAGCAAATTTCATTTGCAACAGAAAGAGCAATCTAGGAATTGGTCCTCTAGAGGACTTCTAAACTTTCAAGATTTGTTTTATTTTGTGAAGTTAGTTTGACTGCATTAAAGCCACAAACACAGAACTCAACGAGGGCTCCACAACTGTTCTGAACATCTCATTTTGGCTTCACACCATAATCCAAGGGGAGCTTGCAGTGTCTAACTCTGCCTGTCTGAAAGGAAGTCTCTAAGATAGTTTGACTCCCCGGTTTGAAACTGATTCAGATAATTTAGATGCAGTCCTTTGCCATTCATCCGTACTAGGTGGATGACACCAAAGTGGGGGATCGGGCAATACACTGCAAGGCAGGGCTGCTTTTCAGAGGGACCAGGTCTGACGGAAACCTCATGAAGTTCAACAAAAACAAATGCAAGTCCTGCGCCTAGAGTGGGATAACCTCATGCACAAGCAGAGGTTGGGAGATGACTGGGGTCCTTGTGAACAAGCTGACCATGGGTCAGCAATCTACCCTACATGACAAAGAAAGCCAACAGTGGGTCCAGGGAAGTGATTCTTCCCCTTTATATCATACTTGTGAGACCACATCTGTAGCAATGTCTGTCCAGAGTTGGGTTCCCTAGTGCAAGAAAGGCATGGACTTACTGGAGGAAGCCCAACGGAGGGCCACTAAAGAAGGGTGAGGGTTAGAGCACCTGTTGCATTGAGGAGAGGCTGAACAAGCTGAGTCTCTGTAGCCCTGTGAAGAGAAGGCTCAGGGGTGACTTCAATGCTGCCTGCAACTGTCTGGTCGGAGGACAGAGAAAAGCCAGAGCCAAACTCTTCTCAGAGGTGCACGCTGACAGAACAAGAGGCAACAGACGCAAGTAGGAACATGGGAAATTCCAATTAGATAGAAGGAGAAATACTTTTCACCGTGAGGGTGGTCAAACATTGGAACAGGTTGCACGGAGAGATTGTGGCACCTCTGTCCTCGGAGGTGTTCAAGATTCAGCTGGACACAGCCCTGAACAAACTGATCCAATTAGACTTCCTCTGAGCAGCGGGCTTGACCAAGTATCTCCAGGGGTCTATTCCAACCTAAGGTATCTTTAAATTTGACACTGCCAGAGGTTGGGTTTTTTTATAAACAGGTTACAATGCGTATGTGATACTGATGGATAACTACAGCACTTTGTGCAGAACATTCTAATCAGGGAACATCCAGAGGCAGTATCACTGAACATTATAACTCAAGTTTACTTCTTTGAATGGAAGGGAGGAATGTTTTGCTCTCTAAAAGATCTTAAATCTCAATACACGTAATATCTATCTGATGTTTTTCAGCATCTTCAGACAGTTACACAAGCCTGTGTCAGCACATTCACATATATAAGCATCCAAAAGCCTGTATCAGAGAGGGCAGACAGTCCTTCTTTCTCTGACTAGATGGGTTTACTAAACTTGGACTAAATCGTGGCAACAAATACACAGGACACGTTGTGTGTTACACTACATTCAGAAGAGAATCAGTCCTTTGAATAAACTCAAGACATTGTTTCTAGGCATTTCACTTTCCCCTTGAAAATGAAGCTGTAACACTCTCAAAGCACATAAGAGTTATGAGGCTTTTCTTCATAAGAAATAGTGTACTGAATATTGGAGTGCTTTAGGTATGGACAGATACAATACCACAAACAAGAAGTTCTCTCCCGTTCTTCCAGCAACAGAAAGACAAAATAAATACCTACTTCAAACATTCATACTATTTTATTTCTTGTCTCTTTACACAATACCCTACAGGCTATAAATTTGTCAGGTATTCTGAATGATATTTCTCTCAGTTTTTCAAGCTGTATCTCAAAAAAATCTGTATAAAGAAGTTAACTATTTATATAATGGGAAACTTCAAAACATAAGAAAGCATCAGACTGCTGATCACAGACCACGAAAGCGGACAAAGAGACTTCTCACTTTCAGGTAGGCCGTCTTTTGGTTCTATTTTAACTAAGATATCTGTTGTCATTGTTTAATTATCTACTCTCCAATATTTATATTAGGCAAGAAAATGATGATATACAACTTTATTTTAGGATACGTAAACAAAACCAGAGGCTTATTCAGCCATTACCCTGCAACGCTTCCTGAGAACATTCATCTTCTGGCACATAGCTGTCTTCATTATGTGCAAGCAGAAAATGGAAACGTCCTTTTTCATCTAGGACTTCTGCAGAAAAAAACTTAAAAATTCCACCCAGTGGTCCTCAAAATAGATTTTTACTCAAGCTTAAATCACAAGCAACGGATGCTTAAATAGAGAGCTTATTTACAGGGAATAATGAGAGGCAGATTCCCACATGAGAATACCAAACATATCCTTCCAAAATCCTGGAGTTCCCCTTTCTCAGCACTCTAGAGGAGGTGAAATCTAATATCCACCATCAGATTTCCATGCTATGAGCAGGGGTGGGTATAAGGAACTCAGCAGAACTCAACTGGGAATTCCCCATGCCAGACAGTTTTGTTACATGTCCCAGTACAAGTAGTGCTGTTACTGGACATGCCTTAAGTGTTGCAGATCTGGCTTCTCCTGATCTGCACCATGCACTGAAGCCTCTGCAAAGAGGACAGAAAATGCTTTTATGGCTAGACCCTTTATCCTCTCTCTGCCATATGTTTTAAAATCAAAACACTCTTCATAATGTCTCATAGCACTGCCTGTAACATTCTGCAGATTTTCATTTATTAACTAGATTATACTAGCATTTAGTGTCTGCAGAATACTGGTTGCCCTATATACATATATATGAAAGGGTGACTTGGAGACTCAGATAGAAAATATAAATAAAGTTGTAGGAAGAGGGACCTTGAAATCTCTGCCTCATTCCCGGCTGATCATCTTGCAAGTCACCTTATGATCCAGCATGGCTGATGATCTCTGCTAAATTGATGGATGATCCAGGAAAGGTCCTGGCAAAGGGGTTTAAGCTAGTGTTTTAGGGAAGGCATTCATATAGGATCTGCCTACGCAGCATCTGCTTTACGTATGTGCTAATCCCTCCACCATGAACTCTACCTATATTTTAGCAGGGTTTTTTAAAGCTGAACAGGAAGATGAGGACACCCAGTTTCCATTATAATTAATACCATTGGTGTGTCCAGATGCACTAAGTCATTTTAGAAGCCTAAAAAAAAGTCTAGAAAATGGGAGCAAATGGGTGTAGGAAAAGGTCAGGTGGAACCTGAGTGCTTTCTTTTAATGAGTTTAACACGAGCATCACACACCTTTAACATACTGCAATATATGGCACCACAGAAGAATGCAGAGCACATACAGTCCAACAGAACACACGATATCTCAACTATCACATTAGGAAAAACATGACATACTGCACACAAAACAAACAGCAGTTCTAAGAGATTTTCCCACATGTCTCCTTCTTTTGCCAGTGCAACAAATCCATTTTCTACCCATCTGCTGGGTCATAAGAGCCCATCAACGGGCCAGATTTAAGTGTTATTGACATGGGCTGTCCTGGTGCTGCTTCTTGCTTATGTCCTTTTGTATTAATATTTTATAATTTTTTAAAAATCACAGAGAATAATAACTAAGGCAAACATGATGGACTAAAAAGACAATATGCATTTTTAAACAGCATTGACACCTAAGATTAATTTCAAACAACCAAATTTGATGAATAATACAAAGACCTTACATTTCTCTTGTAATCAGACTGTCTTTACCATTTTCCTTCCTTGTGAGTATTTACAGTAAAGCACTCACCTACTTTCTATTTCAGAATTACTCAGTTGCCATCAGGTTACTTGTAATACTTCTGATAACTTCTCCACTACCAAATGGACCAGGCAGAACTTCAGCAATACACATAATATCTGCCACGTAAAATCACACCCAAAGTAACATTTCAGAACTAAAGAGATCAAGTATGTTCTGATGAGACAGTGACACTTTAAAGCCAGCCCAACACTAAAGCCCAGTTTGCTCTAAAATATTTACCAGAGACCTATTACCACCAGAAGAGGTGCAGTTTATATTAGCAAAAATGTACTTTTACTGCTGTAGTTTACGCAGTTCTGTCAACAAATAACACACTAACCTCACAAAGACAAGAGGGGTTTTGCCGGTGCAAAATAGTAATGCAGGAATAGAGATTTTTTTGTTTGTTTTTTAATTGCACCCCTAGCAGATCTTATCATACTGGCAAAGCTTCTTGTATAGATTTAAGTTCAGTTTTTAGATGTGGTTAGTCAAATTAATTTGCATGATTATGATTGTCTGCTATTCTCCTTGCTAAAGGCCGACACTCTAAATAACAATGAGTGAAATTATGAGCTGACTAACTTGTTTTCTTGTTCAGCAGAGTAACCGTATAGGGACATAAGCCAGCTTTCCGCTCAAATCCAAACTCGTCCCCTCTGCAATGGGATGAACCTTCTGCTGCTCCAAGCATCTCAGAGTTAGGTGCTTATGCCTAAACTATGCATCGACCTTCCATACAGCTAATGAGGAGAAGTGGGAACTTGGAGAAGGATTTATTTATTAGATCTACATCAGATGCATGTCTTTGAACAACATGGCTTGCTCCACTGGAAAGGCTTACGCCTCTCCATTGAGATGGGAGTCTCAGGTAACTAGTTTGGTTTAGGCAACTCATTTTTTGATGACTGATTTGGAAAAAGTTAATTCCCTCCAGCTGAAACACAATCGTAAACAGCACCTGAAGTGATGTAGCACGCCATTCCTTCACCAGTGGGCAGAAAACACTATGGTGATGTGTGTAGAGAGAATGTGAATTTCCTTGGTGCCAGTTCTGAATTCAACTTACTTGAGAAGGTTGCCGAGATTGAAGAGAGCTCGATTGTGCTGAGGGTTTAACTGAAGGGCCCGTCTGTAGTAGTCCTTTGCCTCCACCACATCTTTGGTCAACGTCCCCAAGTTGTTGAGAGCACTTGCATGACGAGGGTACAGTCTAGGAAACATGAAATATCAAGTAATAGACACTCATTAATTGACAAATAAAGCTGAGGTCACTAATGCTGCCACCACTGCTGTCGGGCATCTGGTAAAGCGAAGGACGTCAGCTAGAAAACACTGTTTTCCCTTCATTTGCTGCAGGTCCTGTTGGGGTCCTGCAACTCTCAAAGAGATTGCAAATCAGATCTTCTCCTACAGTTCCTGTATCCCTCCAGGGCAAAAGGGAACATTGAACAGCTTTGAAAGCCTATTTTACCCTCCAAGCAAAAGGCAAAGTGACTAAAGCAGCTTGAACATCTTTATTCAAAATGTTTTTCAAACAAGCAAGAACTGCTTTGTCAAAAATATGTTTCCCATGAAAATATGTTTTGACATATAAAGAAACTAACACAACACTGTTTAAACTGATCTGTTTTGGTTTGGTTTTAAATCAGTTTTCCACAATAAAAGTGATAATAAAGTGCAAAAGGAAACTTGAAATCAACTGTTGAACATCATGTTTTCAGGACAAAAGAAAACGATAAGAAAATCTGGAAATGGACTGCTTAACAGCGTGAATTCTCTAAGCTTCTAGTTGTATTTTTTTACCACTTGGTTAAGTTCTTCTTTTAACTGATCTGTTGATCTTGACATCTGTTTCAGTTATAACACCACATATTGGGCCCAGTGCATCTCTGTTAAAATTCTCCACGAATTAAGAAGCACATCATGGTCTATTCAGCTCCTTAAATTCTCAAAGTTGTGCTCCTATATTAATATTTTGGTTTGCAGGTCTTTCACCAGAAAACTCTAGAGGTGAAAATGATCTAGGGGAAGATTTAGCATCCAGAACTCTTTGTGTCACAGATGGGTGAAAACTGGGGTTCATTATGATAAAGAAATAAATTTATAACTGCAGCCGACAGAAGTCCCAGGCAAGCTAGGGGACCAGCTGTGCAAGAAGGTCTGATGCTCTGGTTTGAAACAGTGGACAGGACAGGTGCTTGCCCACTGAACTCCTCCAGGCGATCACTTAATTTGTGACAGGGAGGAAGCAGGTTAAGGTGGTCAAGGGTTCAGTTTGAGAAGACCTAGTCACAAATCCTACTGCCACTGCAGATTTTCTATTTCGGATGAGGACAAGCCATCTGACATTTCTTTGCCTTAGGTCCCTGTTCATGGGAAAGTGATGGATAACGACATTAGAAGTAGTTGGCTATGACAGCCCAGGGTACAGCATAAGGAGGGGCACTTAAAAGAAGAAGGGATTAAAACTCTATGATATAGTCTGACTCTAAAGCTTGCAACTGTTTTTAATCTAAGACTTTCTATGGTGGGGTTTTTTTGCCTGGAGTTTTTCATTATGTCAATTCAGCCCTGGGATTTTCTGCGCTTAAGTACCATGAATAATTTAGTATTTTATACACTGATGCAAATTTTCTATCATCAGTCGCATTTTCACTCCACAGCATATAAGTGATTTTGTCAAGGTCTTACTTGGGAGTGAATCTGGGAACGCACGAGGGAACTTGGTAGAAATGGACATGCACCAGTAACAAACCCAGGATGCTTCCTACAGCTAAGTAAGAGAAGAGCCCAAAGTCCTTCTTCCACCCAACACCAAGCCTAGCAGACAAGGATTGCAAAGCCACATAGTTGAAGAGAGATCGTTCAAGGATGCAGCCACGTGTTTTTTAAAACTTAGCCTATTATGACAAAAGCTAAATGTAGGGACCATCACTTATCATAACTAATGACTGCAGACTTTATCAACATCCCTCCAGTACAGACAAGCATGCTGTCTCAGAGGTAACCAATTCCACTGCTGCAAGCCCTCAGGTGCATTGCCCAGTGTCCCCATTGACCCACACTACCTGCATTTGCTGCTCAAGTGATTTTTGAGGAGTTCCCTAACTGACCTTGTCACAGATGAGCAGAGTAGGAAAATCATGGTGAGACTGCAGTTGGTGTAGAAATAGTATCACTTTCCATCACTGAAGCTACCCAGTAAGCCTGATGAGTTTTGGGATGCGAGAGGCTGCCTGAGCTTGGAGAAGTATCAGCAAAGGACAAGATGGTGATGAGGGTATAGTGTTGAGACTTGACCTTGGCCCTAAAATCCCCTGGTCAGTAAGGCTAAGCCTCCCCAGCTGAAGCAGGCTGGGAGAAATGCTTTCCACAGCAACAACAGGGGAGCAATGGAAAGGACCAAGCTTGCTTGCTCTTCAGCACTTGGGACACAGCTCTGTGTGATAACCTTGACCAGAATCTTGAGCAAAGAATGCCCTATCTACCTTAGGGCAAATGACCGAGGCCTCAGCTTTGCTTCCCGTTTCTTCAATGGGATTTTGACATTGGTTTGGATCAAAAAAAGGTCTGGGAGTTATATTTTTGAGGCTTTTTTTCCAGTCGGCTATGATAAAAGCTGTGCACTACTTCTGTCAGTACTCACACATAAAAACAGCTCTAATACCTGACATGAAGTTGCTTGAGTTATTAGTGGGCAAAAGTATTTCAGACAATTCTTGGGAAAGTCTGAAACAGATTAATATTTTACAGCCCCAAACCTGATGGTTTTGCTCTCAAACTTTCAGAAATTAATTCTGTTCTTGGCCTCTAGTGCTCCCATGACATTTTAGGCCCAGGAGATTTGCTTGCACCAGTTTGGAGAGGAATGAAAACTCAAGATTAAAAAAAAGAGAACTGATTTCACCTTTAAATTGCACAGTTCTGACCAGCAGCTCCATAAATACACTTCTGAGCTCAGCGCTAAAACCTCTCGACAGCAAATCACAGGATGCAAGCACGTCTCCCATGTATCCTGGGCTCTATTTCTTGTGTTTTATATTTATTCATTACACCTCATTGCCCTTTCCAAGAAATATAAGGGAAAAACCAGAACCTCAGCTAGCACAAATTGTCAGCTTAAACCCACTTAGTATCTGGCTTGAAGAACTTCCGGCATTTGCAATTTTACATATCTGAACAAATATTAAGAGAAAAATCTGAGCACAGTGAGATAAGGTAGTGGTGTTGGGCTTTGCCATTAGGGTTCAGTTCTTTACAGTTTTATTTGGAATATCATTTTAGTCTGCAGTAGAGCAAGATGCCACTCAACTCCGTTCAGCAGAGAGCATAACCAAGCCCGAGCCCAAGCCCAAGCCCATGACATCCACGCTGTTATACTGTTAACATGATCCCTTAACAGTTTCACACCACTCTCAAATAGTTCCCAGGAGTGGTCCAGGGCTACGCTCAGACCAGGGTTTGGTCCCAAAAGCCAGTTGGGCTCAGCCACTGTCTCTCAGAGGATGAAAGCACTTACTGAATACTGCAGGTCAATTTATGCCAGTTAGCCTCAGGGCTAGAGAATGGGACCCAGAGCCTATTTTAGTTATTAATATGGATGATGACAAAAGGCCTCTAATGGCTTTACTCAAACTACCCTCGGTTCATGCACACCCACTGCTGTTAATAACAGCGTCCTGGGGACAAAATTAGAGTAGAACAAAGTCTCATGGCTGTATTTACAGAGCATCATAAAACTTGACCACAGGTAACTAATCAAAGCCACATTTACTTAAGAACTTTCAAAATGTTTCTGCCAAACATGCAGATACACCATTTGCAAACTGGTTTGCTTTTTGCTGTATGAGATCTAATATTTTAATTAATGGTGGCACACGTACATTTTTTTTCCATTTTTGTGTTATCAGGAGGTTTGTGCCATTTTTCAAGACTTTTGGAATTGGTCCCAATGATTCCCAATGCATACCTTGCTTATTTTGACCATAAGCTCTCTGATGCAATGATTATCTCTTCTCCACATATATTTATTTCTTGGAAGGGTCAGAAACCCATTACCCGGACCAGTTTACCTGAAGTCTCTTCATGCCACAATAACGATAATGCTCAGAACGCATACCTAGTTTTACAAATAGCTGGGACACTCTGAGATGCAAGGAACCAGTTACTGGAACATAGATATCTTGTTTTGCAACTTCTCTTAAAAAACAAAGCTTTCTATCTGGACACACACGGAGCTGTATTTTCCTTGCCACCGCCATTGATAATGGCAACAGTCTGCAGGCAATATCCTTCTTGCTATGCATCTGATTAGGTAGAAATTCCTCTAGGCTTCACCTAATCAAATGCAAGTGCTGCATTATTTATGAAAGAAAGCTGAATTTCATTAAACTTATTCTACAAGAAGCAGTTCATGTAAAAAAAATCAGTTTCTCCTTTCTTTTAGAAATCAGGATAATTTTCTAAAAACTACATTCACAGGTAATTATAATAAAGCCTTGAAATGGCAAAATTACTTTTTAAAAAAAGGAAATGAACCCATAAAAGTATATTTAAAATCAGACTGGGATTTCACTTCTAAAGAGAAGTGCGATGTTTCCTTGTTGCAGAATGAATAATTCAAATGATTCCTCCAGTGCTGTATCTGCAATTGTCAGAATAAATTTAAGCAGCTTTCCCTTTAACTATTACAGGTATACACTGCACAAGAACTCCTGTTAGTAATTATCCCCACTTCTTTTAGGCTAGCAAAACTCCCTCTAACACCACTGAACAAAAGCCTTATTGACTTGCACAGTCAAGAGATTTCCAGTTTCAGAAGAAGATAGCAGGCATAAAACCTATACAGTCATCAAAATGCTGATGACCATTTATTTTGCTTTTTCATTTAATGTTGCTGTTACCTGAAACATTAGGGGTTTTTTAAAAAATGAGAGGTTTTGTTTGGCAACATATCTGAACTACAAGACAATTCCAGAAAAAAGAGAAAGGGAGGGAATTTGTTGTCATGACTACAACCTATAATCCACAAAGAATTTTAATTCTTTTAATTCAGTTCGAGAGAGACCACTTAAAACAACTGTCAAGCTCTGCTTGCAGTCCTGCCTTTAAACAGCCCTTGGTCTGGTGCCAGAAGTATTCAGGGGGCAAAAGGCATTAGTGTGACAACTCCCCACTTGCTCTTAAGAGTATTATGTGGGTTTTGCACAG